AAAGCATAGCTCCTTACTAATGACAATAATTTTTACCGCAGTTTCAATCTCTATGTGTGAGGACTTTGAGATAAGAAGAGCCTCCACCCCTGAGCCTTCTCATCTTCAAGCTATGAAACAGAGAATTTGCAGACCCTTACACTGTAGCTACAGTCATAATAAAACCTACAAAAAAAAGCCAAGGAGAAACACAAAAGAGGTACATTAGTGAAAAGTATTTATATGAATTAGCTATACCACTATGAGTATAGTGATAACCACAAAATAGTTACTCTTCTGCCTTCTTTCTTATGTTGGGCATAAAATAGAAGCAGGAGGTTTGTTGTTAAATGAAAAATCTGACAACACAGATAAGCTGGAACATGAGAATATACAGGAAATTAGCAGTTTAAATTCAACAATCGACCTCTGGAGCTCTGATCTTTTCAACTCACAGTGCTGAAATGCATTAATTTGTAGTATACAAATGTTTTAAGAGAGTATATTCAATCATATTAAAAGCAGGCCTTATTTTGCTGAAAATACAAGCTGAAGGCAGGTACTCTACAGCTGGAGATACAAGACCATATGTTACTTCCATGTCTGATCCTGCTGCAACAGGATCCACAGAAGCTGTACCAGATTACTATGGACAGATGTCATGAACAAGAATAACTTACAGGAAGTGCTCCATACAGCACATTTCCGAACAAGAAGACAGCAGTAGTAACCAGTTTCTCTTCCCATTTTAGAACACATCTGAGTTGCTCTAATCTCTGGCTGTTGTTAGATACCGAAAGCTACCAGGAATTTAGGAATCAGACCTGTTCTTCAGTAACAACCACGAAATTTTACTCCATCTCCTACCTTGCTTTCATGAACTGACAGATACACACCAAACACATAATATACATATATGTACATAGATTTACATATAGCTTTAACTAACCAAACTCTCTGTATTTGCAAATCTGATCAACTGCTTCATACTTAAGCTGCTTTAGGATTTCCCTCTCCTGCTGCCCTCACCCCACTTCTCAGCCCACAGCACAGCCAGGTGCTCTTAATCCTTCTGCAAAACAGGCCTTGCCAGCAGAGCAAGGAATATACTGATTGACTGCTGCCAGTTCCAATATTTGACTAATGAAACTAAAATGACCACCTGAGAGAACTTTTTTGTGTACTTAAACTTAGGGAACTGGTGAAAACTTTGACACTTTCATGCATTCCCTTTCATGTCTCCCTGGTATGAAACAGCATGAGTCCAGATTTGATCAGGGCCCAAGCAAGTCTTGAGGTGAACGGAGGGAAAAAAGGACTTCTCAAATAAAAGTGACATTATCATATATATGAATACATTTCATAGAAAATAAGATTTTTCAACTATTCCTCAAAGTTTGGTTGCTGTGGGGAAAAGGTGTTGTGGAGGGCAAGGTGAAGAACAAAAACCAAATTTTTCTCTTTTTTTAATGATATTTCAGATTCAGGTTAAAGATTGCAATTTTCTTCCTAGTACTTGACAATCTGTAAGAGAGAATTAATAAAATAATTGAGTGAAAGAGTGAAAAATACAATCACAGAATCACAGAATAGTTTAGGTTGGAAGGGACCTTAAAGATCATTTAGTTCCAACCCCCCTGCCATGGACATGGACACCTCTCACTAGACCAGGTTCCTCAGAGCCCCATCCAACCTGGTCTCAAACACTTCCAGGGTTGAGGCATCCACAACTTCTCTGAACAACCTGTTCCACTGCCTCACTGTCCTCACAGTGAAGAATTTCTTCGTCATATTTAATCTAAACCTAGTCTCTGTCAGTTTAAAGCCATTCCCCTTGTCCTATCCCTACATGCCCTTGTAAAAAGTCCCTTCACAATCCTTACCTTTCTAACTGTATTCTGAAACTCTGTTTGTATTTTCGGCTTCATAGAGGTGAAACGATTTTTTGGTAAAGAGTTTCATATAACTTACATCACAGGCTTGAGAAATAGGAAGTTTCTGAGAAATACATGGATCATTTGCCCTGTGGAAAACCAGAGGGCTCTGGAACAAACTGGGAACAATTGCTACACAGATACAGCTAACCAGCATATACAATCAGAACACCTTAAAGGACTCGGAAAGCAGAATTAATCTTTTTCCATTTCTTTGATGTATCACTCTAATTTCACAGAGCCTGACTAAAGCACAATAGATATGAGCAAAAGCAATTACTGCCAGGAATTTTAACAGGCTTCCTACATTCCTCCATTTTTAGGCGCTAAAACCCAGACAAGTTTAGAGAACTGTTTTTCAAACACCTGCTTGAACACACCTAATTCTGTTCACTTATTAGTCCCTGCTACAGCAGTTGATTTCTTAGAAACAATGTATCTTGAACTTTTGTCTGGAGAACTTGATGTGATACTGCAGAATTACACTTTGCTACATAGGAAATGTAGCAAATACATTGTTTATAGGAAATGAGGTGTTATCCACACAAAAATAATTGCAGTTCTTTGGCACAGCACACCTTCATTCAAAGTGCAATTCCAGTGAACGCTCATCTATGCTAGAAGGTGACAAAGATCACCCTGGAGTTCTTTTTTGCCTTATATTCAAAAGGAAGAGAGGAGGCAAGTAATTCAATCCAAGCCAGAAGAGCCTACATCCAACAACAAGCCTCTGGAGCCTGCAAGATGAATCAGTGTTTACTCCTACTGCCTCTAAAGAGCCATAAAGGCAGGTTAGACCAGGACTGTTAATACCCCTGGTATCTGCAACGAGTTCTACCCTAGAGGTTTCTTGGCACTGTTGCTGCCTTACCCTTGGTGCCAGACCTGCTGTCTGCTGCTCTTTATGCACATACTGGCAGGGTGCACAGACTAGTCCAGCACATGGGAACACGACTGGAAGTTGCTAAATTAATTGATTATGCCAGATTGCAAACTCCTTGCCTGAGTTTACCCTTCTCAGAAGTGAAAAGCTTAACCAATTGGAAACAAAATCCCACAGAGGATACTGAAAAGATATTAGAGTTTAAAACCCAAAAAGGAGTGAAAGAATATCTCTGCAGCTTTGCCATCCCCTGCCAGGCCCTTCTTTTCTTCCCTATGATGCATCCCATTCTCGCAACAGACTTTCTTCTCCTGTGCATATCCTGTGAAACAGGTTTTACTCTAATTAATTATCCTGCTGATATGAAATCATAAAAGGATCCTGGTCTTCCAGGTACATGCAGAATCATTAAAACATTCAAAGAATGAACCCTATCTCTCTCAAAAAACCACCACCACAAACAAACAAAGCCAAAAAGCACAAAACTTGCTTCAAAGAAACATGGTATTTGCAATTTCAAACTGCAACCAGTTAACTCTGGTAACAAATATGCTTCCAGACTACCACTACTGCCCAATTTTTTACCTAATTGGGGAATAAATTAACTAGTTAAGCTGTTTGGACACTTAAATCAACATAAAGCTTAATATGAAACATCCTATATTAAAATTTCACATATGTGACATTTTATAAGATGATCACTATTAAGATTTCTAATCCAACTTCTTTTGCTGAGACAACAGTTTCATTAAACTGCCATAATGGAAATCTAATGATGCACGGAAATTATGTCTCAAAAACGTCAACAAGCAGAACTGTCACAGGAGCTGCCTTCGAATCTGGGCACCGACTTTCCATTTCAATACAGGCTGAGAGAGAGACAGCAGCCAACTCCATCTGCACCAACTCCTTATCGTCTTAGAGGACAATAGTAATGGAAAGAACACTGTCATTAAATGTGCAGAGGAAAGAATACAAGGACCAAAGACAGAATTTTTCTCATAAAACACATAATTTTAAGTTAATTTTCAGGTAATTACAAGACATAAAAATTGTTAATAGTTCACATTTGAGGGTTATTTTTAGCCGGTTTATTTTAATATTCTGTGATGTTATTTAAGCTCCTTTTGAACTAAGAATGGCGTTAGAATGGAGAATGTTTGGAGTACACTATGATTTGGAAATGCTGCACTTCAAACATCATTATGGAAGTTGTGAAGGAGAGTAGTCCCAGCACGCCAGCCCAGTGAGTGTTGTATTCTAAACCTTCCTCTTCATTAATAAGGTACAGTGTAAGAAAGCTTAGGCCGTGTCAAATAGCAAATTTCATTTTGAACCTCTTGTGTACAAAGCAAATTTTTATGTCCTATTGCCGTAAAATACAAAATTTTACATTTTTGCTCAATGCAAAAATTCAGTGTTTTCATGTCACATTGTATAAAGAAAAAAAATGAGGTAATGATTCTACATATGCACTACTCTGGGCTTCCTGTTGTATTTCCAATTTCCATAGTAAAGATGATTTCATTATACATTTGAAAAATTTCAGGCATATACATAGATATAAAGTGACTGCTAGGTAATTTCAAATTCAGAGCTTTAAACCTCGATGACTACCAGCTTATTAATAAATAAATAAATAAATAAATAAATAAGAACACCAAACAAAAAAACACCCACCACCAAACAAACCACAACTTGGAATTATTTACTGTCTCAAAAAAGCTCAAGATCAAAAGCAGTATAAATGTACACTAAATAAATATGATAACAGTCTTCCAATTTATAGTTAATATATTTTTTGATGTTTAGAATAACAAGCATTTAAAAGTGCAGTGTCAAAACTAACTCACATATGTCTACTCTGTAGGAACATTATTAGATTTCAATGGCAAAATCTTTACAAAAATAATACTAATTAAAATAACCATGTTGGTATCAGTTGTGAGGAACAGTAGCACTCCTCATACTATATAAATGTGCTTTTGACTCACAAATTAAATAATTTGCAGGTGTGCATTTCAATCTTAATGCAGGTTTTTTGGAAGCAAGAGGAATTCCATATATATTTAGTCAGCAGACTGCTGGTATTTCTATCATGCTTAGAGAGCCTGTATCACATAAGAATACACTTCTTTGTAATAGCTTGGAGTAGCATAAAGATTAGAGTGATAAAGTAATATATATATACACATATATATTACCTGTTCTTGCCTCTCCAGCCACTTGTCCACCATGGGATGACTGGCACTTAACGATGAACGAGCATTGTCTCTCTGAAACTGGTTAGACCAGCTACTAGTATCTCGTGGGAGGCTTCTGTAGTTTTCATCTTTCTAGTTTAAAAGAAACAAAAAAGTGTCTTATAAAAAACAACCAGTCCTTGCACATTAACAATGCAACTGGTTATTAAACCAATACAAAAGGAAGACTGACAAAAGAGAACACAGGCCCAGCCGGACCCAAGGACAGCGCGATTGCTCAGCCACTCCATTGCGAGAGCTCCCTTTCCTTAACACCAGGGGAGCCCAGCTAAAGCCTCAGTGGAGTTGTAGACCTTGCACCCATTCGTGCTTCCCTTCCTCTCTTTTCCAGCTTCAAACCTCTAGTGCACAGACTCCCCAAGTAACATATTCAGAAAGGTTTTCAGAGCAACAAGTTCCTTATTTTCATTCCCATCAAAAGCAAATATCCCAAACAAGAGTCCATCCAGTGAACGCTACAGCCACTACACCATTTTCCCAAGTCTCTGTATGTAATCAATTTTACAATCAAAGAGGTCTCACTGCCCCAGGTACTGTCCTTTAGACCAGAATAACATGTTGTAGAGTTCAAAACTTGAATTTATTATTCCACATAACAGTGCTTTGCTTGGTTTGCCTGAAGGTAAAAAAATACAGTCACATTTGTAGAAAAGCAGCAGATGGAGATTGTGCTGACAGAGATACACTGATCCCACCGAGAGAAAATTATTTTTTTTCCTTTTTAATGATGAGTTTGTCTGCACATCTTTCCCACAAGCTGTACAAATTCTTCGGCTTCTAAAGATTATTAGTCCTTACTCAGGCTGATCACTAAAAGCCAATAAAAGCACAGAGGCAGATTCTTAATGATGGGAGTCACCTTTAGTCTAAAGTCAGTGTTACTGATAACTTACATAGCTTAGATACCTCCAACTGAAATAATACATGGAACTGAAATTCTGCTTAGCTTTTCAAAAGAGAATTATAAATACACTATAATCTATATAAGTATCCTTCCTTCAGAAGTGGAGTATTTTTTCCAGTCAACATTTGTCTATCTACATGCCAAATCAGATAATTTAGAGAGAGTATCTATTTTTAAAATAGGACTGTAGTCCTACATATTTTGCAACATTACCACTTTTAGGAATCTCAAAAGTCTCTAAAATAATAAACAAACACCAGTGCACATTTTCAGCTAAGAACTATTATTTTCTTTATTTATAGCACACAGCAGATTTTTGGCCCTTTCTTACATCAGTACATTCCATCAGCATGAGTATTTCCATTCCCTATTTGCCATACAGATATTTCTTTGCCCTGGCACAATACTAGTCCAATATTCTAGATGCAGCCTCAATTCCCTTACAATTGTCCTTCACAACTATATTAAACGTATGACAGGCTTTGCTAGGAAATTCAGGTCTCAGTATAATTGTGAAACACAACACTTTACAAAAGCTTCCTGTGCAAGAGCAGTCTTTTCCCACACATATCAAACTTAAACTTTCTTAACTGGTGACGTCTTTTCTTGAAATAGTTTGTAGTATAAGTCTTCCACTTCAAGACATTTAAGTTTAAATTCAACCAGTACAAAATAACCTTGTAAAAATGTTTGCACAAGTAACCTACCTAACAAATCACCATCATACATTAGTTTACCCTGGCACAAATGAGGTAAAAACTTTGTGTTTTTCAGCAACTACAAACAATCCAGTTTTCCACTGTTGGTTAACCACACAGTAAAACTAGAAACCTGCTCAGTGTCTTGCTTAGAAAGGGACAGTGGAAGTCAGCTTTGTACAACTGTCCCTCAGCAAAGCCATAAAAGCCAGGGAATGCTGTGTACAAATTGATTTTTTTCCTGTTGCTTCTCTTAAACAGCTCTTTTCTTCAGGTGACAGCGGTGTCACAGTTCCTGTAAGCCAAAACAACAATTTCTCTTGTTCAAAGTGGTGGGCAGGTGTAACAACAAAATCAAAGTCTGACAAAGAAATAACAGAAAAACCATTTCATGCACAAAACCACCCATACAATTGGAGCACATGTTATTGTCATCTAACAATAACTATCTGACAGACCATCACCTCCTCTGAACAAACAAAAATTTCTTCCTATGTAACGATGTTTTCTGTATTTCTGTACTTTATAGATAATTCCATTTTTTTATTGATTCATGTTTACAATGTTCAACAGAAACTTTTTTGAAAGACATTTTTATTTTTAAAGCACAAAGATCTCTCTCCACACAGCATCTATTACCCATGCACAGGAGTGTTTTGCAAGAGCAAGAGAGAAGGAAAAAAGTTCATCTAGGGGTGTGTTGCTCTTCAATCATTCAATCACCAGGTCTCGGAATCATGCCAGGGAGTCTTATTGCACAGGGTTTATATTGAAACTTCGTGTTGTAAAAAGTCTCAAGTGTCACAGTACACAGAGCAAGTGTAATGATCTAAGCTAAGAAGAGAGCCTCTGTTTGATGCATCTACACTAATGACAAGAATTCTGCAAAGAGTTTACTCCTAACATTATCTGTGCTGACCAGAAGAGTATATTCATCCCACCTACCGAAACATTTCTGCTTGTAGTCCACTTCAGTAGAAGGTTGCCTTTCTCCTGCTAAGACCTATACCAACTCATTTTATACAATCAAGTCACTCAGCAATTTTTCTGACAGCAGAAATAAATGTTGGAATGGTAGAGGGATGTGGTTTCTGTAACTTCTTTTTTTCTCAGCACTGTTCAGAGGCTCAAAATAGTGCTATTATCAGATTGAAATAAAATACCAGTGCTGCAATCACACATACAGAGTCACGTTGGTGTTGGCCAAACAGTGAAACATTAGAAGATCAACCAGCCACAGACAAGTCCTCCACTCCTTTCTGTGTCACTGTTTTTTGGCAAGCAGCTACCCCTGTACCCCATGCGTGACAGCACTGGGACAAGCACCAAGCTAGACCAAGTGCAGAGAGAGAGCAGCATTTTCAACACTGCCACACACAGTCCTTCTCACAGACAGCTGCACAGCAAAGCCTCAAGGTGCTCCTGGCTACCTGTAACCCCATCTATGCAGGGGCTTCCATTACTGCTACTGCCAGATCTAATTCAAAGACAGCACTGGTGATCAACGAGAGAGGTGGAGGCAAAAAATAACGCTGCAGCTCAGACATCAGGATTTACTGAACCAGCTGCAGTGCTGCCTGTTATTTTAGATACATATATATATATGTAGGCTTGTGATTTTTTTTTTCTTAAATATACAAATGTTAACCCAGAAAGTTTTACTTGTCTTCAGCATGATCTAGCATTAGCACATATGTTCCCAACATCCAACTGGAAAAGGTGTGTGTCACTTTTAGCTGCAGTACCATAAAAAAAAAAAAGATTTCATGGTACAGAAGCCATCAGGGTCACACAGGGAATTCTCATTTCTTCTGGAGCTGCAGCTGTAAGCCCTCCTGGGACCAGGGCTGACATGCATCATCAGTTACAATTAAATGTTCTAATTTATTTTTTTTTTTAAATTTCTTTCCCAAACATCTTTGGGGACCACAGGCCATGTCAGTTTCATCACGTTTGAAATGGAAATTGATCAATATAATACTAAAACTGCCAAGTCATAATATCACCACTACACTTAACAGCAGCGTTTTGCAGTAATTTTAATGAGGACACGTAATCTAACACTTTGAGATTTAGTTCAGCGTGGTGTCCCTGCGGGGCTTTGCTGGAGGGTTGGGTGAAAGGGGACAGGAAAAATAAAGCAATTTTTGCTATACTTTTAATTTCAGATGATTTGCAATATATAACAAGATCCTCATCAAAAACTCTGCAGCTTGTAGATAAAACGATGAATTAGCATGATCTGTGTACTTCAATTACTAGCTGCCAGTGCATGAGCTCACTTGTGATTTTAACCCACAGTTGTCCCCCTACAGAGTCCCAGCATCATGAATCCAACCAGAACATCCTCCACACAGTACAGTGACAGTTCCACATCTGCCATCTCATTTGCTACTAGGCCACTTTCCAAATAGTGAAGAAGTTGGGTTTTCCCTTTGTTTTGACTTCCTGAATGCCTAAGGTAAAGTGTGATAAATTTTCATGTACTTTTTTTTAAAAAACAAACAAACAAAAACAAAACAAAAAAACCCACAACCTAGATAGTATTATAAGAGGGATAAAATAGATTGAAGACCCCTTCAAAGTAATCCACTGAAAGAAGATATAAAAAGTTAAAACCAAGCTTTTACTTTCATTATTTCTACAGAAAACAGCCCACGTCTCATTTAGATCTTCTAAGAGACCATTTTGGACACTGACCTCTTTTTGTTATGCAGTCTTTTCTTGTAAAGTGTACACTTTGGAAAGGCTCCTCATTTGCTTGGCTTTAGTTCCTTGTCATGGCCTCAGATGGACATAGGATTTGATGATGAGAGGTGAGACTTCATTTAGTCTTTGGAGATTATAATTTCACTTGAGAGACTTTGGGCAAATTCATGCCTATAAGTGCATTTCTTGTTGAATCACTCACTATAAAGGCTGCTCTTTTTTTTATGCTCCACTATATCCGTGTTAGAACCTGAACAGTTTGGTGTCACTCTCAGAGAGGAAGCTAAAAGCTACAATTATCAAAACAGTCACACAGTTTATGTAAATAACTCTCTGATAAAAACATCTGTTTATAAATGCAGCAATACATACATATATCCATTTTCCATGCCGTCTGAAGGTGTAGCAATCAGTTTTTTGTTTGGTTGAGGTTTTGTGGTTGCTTTTTAACTGGGTTTTAGACAAATAAATATGGTATAAGACAAAAAAAAAAAAGTAAAAATAAAGAAGACTACAAAAATAATGTCTATTTTACAGGGCAAATACATTAATTAACCCAACAGATGCATTGCAGGAACAAAAACTCCATTTTAAAAAAACCAGCTACTTACATAGATGCCAGATTTGGAACTATTCTCTCTATTCATTGGCATCTTTTAACAATTTCTACCAAACGTCAACAGTTTTATCTAGAAAGTAATTGTACCAGTCACTCCTTCTAATTATCCATACATGTTAAGAAACTGACATTACTGCTTCAG